CAAAACACATGATTATTAAATATACACGGTCCTCATTGAATAAGATTCTTTAAGAGAGAACTTTTTAGTACTTTTTATCTCATAAATGTTACTTTTTGAATTTTCTAAAATATTCAACCTAGGAACATAAATTTGAACATACATGGTCTTGACTGAATAATATTTTGTAAGTGGGTTCTCTTTGGTACTTTTCCATTCTTAAAATGGTACCTTTTGGTTTCTCTATAATGGTTAACCGGAACACATCCTTATTAAATGAGAATTTATTGAGAGAGATTTTTGTACTTTTTCGTTTTTCCGATGGTAAGTTTTGATATTTTTACGATATTATATGAATGACAATCTACTGAAAGGGTCTTTTGGTACTTTTTCATTCATCAAATTATATTTTTTGAATTGTATATAATATTGAACACAGAAATTTTTGATTAAATAAAAGGTATTTTATAGTACTTTTTTTTAAATAGTACTTTTAATCAATTATAGTTTTCTATAAAAGTAAACAAAATTGTGTATGTATTTAATTTTGATTAGGGTAGCGAAGCAGCCAGGGTATGGTAATTTAATACTTTTAAAATGTTCTTTTGAAAAGTTAGAAGAACAAACTTATGTATTTTTTATTTCTTACCACAAATTTGTAACTTGTTTTTATATTTCTCTATATGTTTCAATATTCAAAGATTGTTGCTGTCAACAAATATCTTTGATGTATGAAATAAAATATTCAAATATACAAAAACAAATTAATCGATATATGTATGTATGTAACAAAAAAAAAAAAAATATTCATACAATCTGATGATATTTCAACAAAGAAATATGTCTCAAGGGTTTTTTCTGTTCTACCAATACATACATACATGCATACATATTTTGTCGAATAATCATTGATGAATTTAAAATAAAAATAGAAAATTTATGGATTTAAAACCCACATAGTATTTTACAACATTTACATGCAACATTGTGGTTGCCTCAAAACAATTAAATTTTGAGTTAGTATTTGTTATAATAGTTACTATTACTAATTGACATTAATATCAGTTATTATTATGCAACTTTAATTTACGATCTATTCCAGCCTCTACCAATATCCTTGACTTGTTTTTAAAGAGCATTCATCTATGTTGTTTTAATATACATATTTATACCCTACACCACTTTAATGGGGAGGTATATTAAGCTTTTACTGATATTTGTACACAAAAAATATTCATCCTATATCCACCTTAAAGTATACCAATCGGCTTAGTATCATTTTTGCAACCTGGCTGGTAAAGGTTGCAACTTTCAACATAATTGGATGACATTTGGTACCAAAGAATAAATAAGAAATGAAACTGTTGTCAAAAGTACCTAAGTCTACTGTCATCCGGTACCTAACTTTAAGAATGTATTAGTAGAATTCTCAAGTCAACATAGTTGCAAAAAATCGTATTGAAAAATATTGAAAAAAATATTACATTTCAATTTATACTTTGAAAGGTTTCTTAAGATATTTTCCACATATTTTATCTACAAACATTTTATAAACACGTCTATTCACGTCTAAACACGTCTTATACGCTTTTTTCGGCCTATTATTTCACCTAGCCCCCATACAACAGAACCCCCGAAAACGGCCTTTGAGCTCATAATTATGTTAAATATCTCGATAAAAGCGGGCTTCATTCGACACTAGCTCCCATCAGAAAATGATTTGAATGTCCAAAATTAATTTATAAACACTAATATTCACAAAATTTTATCGGGATCGGTCCACATTTGCTCCTATCCCCCATATAAAACCTCTTTTAGAAAATAAGTTTTTCGTCCATAAATTGCTTAAATGTATCGGAAACAAGGTTATATTAAAGATAAATGCTTTATTATGAAAAATAAATTACAGTTAATATTCATAGCTGGTGTAGGGTATCATATGGTCGGCCAAGCCCAACTATACTTTCTTACTTGTTTTTATTATACCCTACACCACTTTAGTGGAGAGGGTAAATTGGGTATGTGCTGATGTTTGTAACGCACAATAATATTGGTCCTATATCCACCTTAAAGTATACCAATCGGCTTAGAATCATTTTCAGTGCCGTTTTAGCTATGTCCGTCCGTCTGTCTGTCTGTCTGTTTGTCCGTCCATGTAAACCTTGTCATCAAACTACAGGTCGCAATTTTGAAGATAATTCAATGAAATTTGGTACATGATATTGTCCCAGGGACGAAGCCTTTTGAAAATGGTTAACATCGGTACATTATTTCACCTAGCCCCCATACAACTGAACCCCCGAATGGGGCTTGTAAACTTTGTAATCAAACTACAGGTCGCAATTTTGGACATAATTCAATGAAATTTGGTACATGATCTTCTATGGTACCGGAGACGAAGCCTATTGAAAATGGTTAACATCGGTCCATACAACTGAACCCGTCGAATAGGCCTTTTAAGTTCATAATTATGTTTAATATACACCTATCTCGACATAAAGCTGTAAAACAAAGTTCTATACTAGCCTTAATAACCCTCATGAATTTTATAATTATAAGGCCTCATTGACCCTAGCCCCTATAAAAAGCCCCCTTCAAAATTTGACTTAAATGTCCACAATTTTATTAAACAATTAATGGCTTAAGTATATCTGTGACAAGATACAATTCAACTTAAATGCTTTATTATGAAAACTAAATCACATTTTATTTTTGTAACAGGTGTAGGGTATTATATGGTAGGCCTCGACCGACTATAATTTCTTACTTGTTTTTTCCTTATTCTAAACCATGATCATCGTTTGGTCACTATTTACAAATTTGTACATACATATTATCAAAGTAAGTATAGCAGCTTTAACCAGCAACATTGTTGCAATGATGGGATGCAACTTTAATTGTGTGGCTATTAAAAGTCAACTTTAATAAAAACAATATTTACTGGGATCATAGATGAAACACCTCACCCGATAACACCTTCATCTGTGCGTCAAAAATCAAATGCATGTAAATATTTCTTTCAATGTTAAAGTTTTAAGTGAAATTAATTTGTTCTACATATAAAAAATTGTTAAAAATGGAATAATTCTCTTCACAGTTCATACAAACACATTTCTAAATACCTTGACATCTTTTGAGTAACAGAATGGAGCCTAGAGCTTTACAAAGAAAACTCCAATATTTATTTAAACTCAACTACTTAAGTCCTTTTATACTACAAACTTCACCATTTTACTATGTTCTTTAATATCACTTTACTAATTGCAAAATAAGCATTATTTTAAAAAGCGCTTATCTTAAAGCTTATTTTTAGAAATTTTAGTATAAGTTTAATTTACTTTTTATTCTTCTTTATTAACATATTACAGAAGTTAGTTTGCCAACAATTACTTTTTATCACTCGCCTGGAGTTTCGGTCATAAACAAACTTAAACTTAATGTATTTTTAATTCCACGTTATGGTTAAATGCCATGATTTCTTTAAGTGGCCAACAACTATGTAGTATCTGACCGACTCATACCTACACGCATTCAACAACATGTTTGTTTTAACGTCTATGGAAAAAAGTGTATACACGCGAAGAAAAATCTTATCAGTATTTTTAATCCTGCTCCGAAGACCAGAAAAGTTCTAGTAACTTCTAAAATTCTGAGATGATCTAGTTTTGAAGTACCAAATCCACAAATGACAAAAGTATGTAATATCGGTCCAATCTAAAATAACAGCGAGAACACTAGAAGGCCATCTGCCCCATTGTGATATTCAATCATCAATCAATCACTTCAAAATCGACCTGCCTAAGATCGTTTCAATACTTCCGACTCTCTCTAAAATAACAGCGAGAACACTAGAAGGCCATTTGCCCCATTGTGATATTCAATCATCAATCAATCACTTCAAAATCGACCTGCCTAAGATCGTTTCAATACTTCCGACTCTCTGAAATCAAACAAATGCACTTTTGTTTCCACAGCTTTCCACCGTAGGTCCACTGAGTAATTCAGTGTTTAATGAAAGGTTTAAGATCCCATAATTTCCGAGTTTTTTTTTAAAGAATTAGAATCCAAAATTCCAAATCAAGGTGATCGAAATTCTGGGATTTTATATCTTCTGGTTCGAAAAGACTGATTCCATGAGATGACTTATGGTTGAGAAAAATTATCCTTTGATTCAGAGCACAACATATTCGACTATCTTGGTACCCATATTACGGAGCCTTAAGAGCTTTTTATTAACAACAAGGAGCTCTAGGGAGTTTCCTGTAATACCATATACAAAAATATATTTTTCTATAGGCACCCTTTTTATCCGAACAGATGCGATTACTTACATATCTATACCTTCTTGTCAAGTGTTTTCTGACTTTTCTTTAAGGTAGGCGTGTTGTGCTTTGCAAAAGTTACAGATACAATGTGTGGAGAGTTCTGGCATATACCAGTATGTCATACAGGAGATGTATAAGGTCGAATTTATACCACTTCTACTATTTCCTCACTTACAACGAAATGGCATTGGGATGCTCTAAAGTATTCTAAATCGGAACCTTTATTCTCGTCATCTTTGGAAGAGTTCCACTATTCTCTAAATTGAATTTTTTAAGTGTACGAAGTTTCTACAAAATGTTGGCAAAATACAAAAATTGTAAATTGTGCTTTTGGCTCTGTTCTAAATACATTGGTGGAATGACTTTGAACTAAAATGAAAATATAACAGCTCACCTTTCTAGAGTCAAATTTGTGTGCTTCTTTTCGTTTAAATTTTCACATAAAACAATTTGAATGTCATTATAATAAACGTTTATTTAGTTTTACTGCCAGTGCTTCGTAACAAATTTGAAAGTACTTCTTTTTTTCCTTGTCCAAATCATTTCTACTACATCTAATTGTGTGCTACCTGGTGAAAGTGAGAAAATTTTAAACTGTTTGCCATAAAGTACTCTATGTATTGTACTATTGTGGTAGTGGTAGTCATAATATATAATTTCAATTGTTCATTTAGTTTCAGGCCAAATGTAAATCCATTATTGATTGTACAAACCCCGCAACATGGTGAAATATGTGTAAGATGTATTAAGTAAAGATTGAAATGTAGCCAGAGTCATGGGATAGATATTACCAACCATTATCTGTAAAATGCAAAACTTGTAAATTGTAAAAGTGTTTTTAATAATTGCATTTACCTGTAAAGGCTTCTGTGTTCTTATTATGAATAATAACAATGTCTTACGAAAACGTTTGCTGCAATAATACCATGGTATAGAATAAGCTGCCTCCGACACATTAATACTCTGTAATTAAAGAAATATAATAATGGAAAGTATATTTATGAAATTGATTAAAGTTAATTAAAAATGACTTTTGAAGATTGTAGTCTTTATATTTATACCTCAATTAACATTTCATTTGCATGCCAATAATATGTGAACAGGACATACATCATGGTCAATATGTACATTATTATTGATATAAGTTGTGTAAATGTTTCAATCTATAAAATGCAATAATGAAAAACAATTCATTAACATTATCAACATCTCAAAGCTATCAATTATTTAAACTTACAATGTTCATGCAGAATAATAGGGAGCAAATTATGGTTCCAAATAACAAAAACTCCACAAAGACAATATACGTTACCAGGGAATTAAAATCCTTAGTGTAACTGAAATTATTTAAATATTGGGATTATCTCTATATTTGATTAAACATCGTATGTATTTACTAAACTATAGACTAGACTATAGACTAGACTATAGACTAGACTATAGACTAGACTATAGACTAGACTATACTAGACTAGACTATAGACTAGACTATAGACTAGACTATAGACTAGACTATTAGACTAAGAACTATAGACTAGACTATAGACCAGACTAGAGACTAGAGCTAATAGACTAGACTATAGACTAGACTATAGACGAGACTATAGACTAGACTATAGACTAGACTAGACTATAGACTAGACTATAGACTAACTAGACTATAGACTAGACTATAGACTAGACTATAGACTAGACGATAGACTAGACTATATGACTAGGACTATAGACTAGACTATAGACTAGACTAGACTAGACTATAGAACTAGACTATAGACCTAGACTATAGACTAGACCATACTAGAGACCTAGACTAAGACTAGACTATAGACTAGACTATAGACTAGACTATAAGACTAGACTATAGACTAGACGGACTGACTATAGACTAGACCTATAGCTAGACTATAGACTAGGAACATAAGACTAGACGATAGACTGGAACTATAGACTAGACTATGACGAGACTAGATACTAACTAGACCTAGACTATAGACAACTATAGACTAGACTATAGACTAGACTATAGACTAGACTATAGACTAGACTATAGACTAGACTATAGACTAGACTATAGACTGGACTATAGACTAGACTATAGACTAGACTATAGACTAGACTATAGACTAGACTATAGACTAGACTATAGACTAGACTATAGACTAGACTATAGACTAGACTATAGACTAGACTATAGACTAGACTATAGACTAGACTATAGACTAGACTATAGACTAGACTATAGACTAGACTATAGACTAGACTATAGACTAGACTATAGACTAGACTATAGGCTAGACTATAGACTAGACTATAGACTAGACTATAGACTAGACTATAGACTAGACTATAGACTAGACTATAGACTAGACTATAGACTAGACTATAGACTAGACTATAGACTAGACTATAGACTAGACTATAGACTAGACTATAGACTAGACTATAGACTAGACTATAGACTAGACTATAGACTAGACTATAGACTAGACTATAGACTAGACTATAGACTAGACTATAGACTAGACTATAGACTAGACTATAGACTAGACTATAGACTAGACTATAGACTAGACTATAGACTAGACTATAGACTAGACTATAGACTAGACTATAGACTAGACTATAGACTAGACTATAGACTAGACTATAGACTAGACTATAGACCAGACTATAGACTAGACTATAGACTAGACTATAGACTAGACTATAGACTAGACTATAGACTAGACTATAGACTACTATAGACTAGACTATAGACTAGACTATACTAGACTATAGACTAGACTATAGACTAGACTATAGACTAGACTATAGACTAGACTATAGACTAGACTATAGACTAGACTATAGACTAGACTATAGACTAGACTATAGACTAGACTATAGACTAGACTATAGACTAGACTATAGACTAGACTATAGACTAGACTATAGACTAGACTATAGACTAGACTATAGACTAGACTATAGACTAGACTATAGACTAGACTATAGACTAGACTATAGACTAGACTATAGACTAGACTATAGACTAGACTATAGACTAGACTATAGACTAGACTATAGACTAGACTATAGACTAGACTATAGACTAGACTATAGACTAGACTATAGACTAGACTATAGACTAGACTATAGGCTAGACTATAGACTAGACTATAGACTAGACTATAGACTAGACTATAGACTAGACTATAGACTAGACTATAGACTAGACTATAGACTAGACTATAGACTAGACTATAGACTAGACTATAGACTAGACTATAGACTAGACTATAGACTAGACTATAGACTAGACTATAGACTAGACTATAGACTAGACTATAGACTAGACTATAGACTAGACTATAGACTAGACTATAGACTAGACTATAGACTAGACTATAGACTAGACTATAGACTAGACTATAGACTAGACTATAGACTAGACTATAGACTAGACTATAGACTGGACTATAGACTAGACTATAGACTGGACTATAGACTAGACTATAGACTGGACTATAGACTAGACTATAGACTGGACTATAGACTAGACTATAGACTAGACTATAGACTAGACTATAGACTAGACTATAGACTAGACTATAGACTAGACTATAGACTAGACTATGGACTAGACTATAGACTAGACTATAGACTAGACTATAGACTAGACTATAGACTAGACTATAGACTAGACTATAGACTAGACTATAGACTAGACTATAGACTAGACTATAGACTAGACTATAGACTAGACTATAGACTAGACTATAGACTAGACTATAGACTAGACTATAGACTAGACTATAGACTAGACTATAGACTAGACTATAGACTAGACTATAGACTAGACTATAGACTAGACTATAGACTAGACTATAGACTAGACTATAGACTAGACTATAGACTAGACTATAGACTAGACTATAGACTAGACTATAGACTAGACTATAGACTAGACTATAGACTAGACTATAGACTAGACTATAGACTAGACTATAGACTAGACTATAGACTAGACTATAGACTAGACTATAGACTAGACTATAGACTAGACTATAGACTAGACTATAGACTAGACTATAGACTAGACTATAGACTGGACTATAGACTAGACTATACTAGACTATAGACTAGACTATAGACTAGACTATAGACTAGACTATAGACTAGACTATAGACTAGACTATAGACTAGACTATAGACTAGACTATAGACTAGACTATAGACTAGACTATAGACTAGACTATAGACTAGACTATAGACTAGACTATAGACTAGACTATAGACTAGACTATAGACTAGACTATAGACTAGACTATAGACTAGACTATAGACTAGACTATAGACTAGACTATAGACTAGACTATAGACTAGACTATAGACTAGACTATAGACTAGACTATAGACTAGACTATAGACTAGACTATAGACTAGACTATAGACTAGACTATAGACTAGACTATAGACTAGAGTATAGACTATAGACTAGACTATAGACTAGAGTATAGACTAGAGTATAGACTATAGACTAGACTATAGACTTGACTATAGACTAGACTATAGACTTGACTATAGACTAGACTATAGACTAGAGTATAGACTATAGACTAGACTATAGACTAGACTATAGACTAGACTATAGACTAGACTATAGACTAGACTATAGACTATATTCTACTATAGACTAGACTATAGACTAGACTATAGACTAGACTCTAGACTATAGACTAGTCTAGAATTGGAAAAAACGTCAGAAATGTCTAAACTCTGGTTAAAAAATTACCGTTAACCACTTAAACACATTTTTTTACCGAAAAAGTGGCAACAATACACACTCTATTTCATAGATTTGCTATATTTTCATACGTACTGGTTTAATTTTAAATTTGTTCACATTAATTTAACTTTAGCTATAAGTCTTACCACACCATACGATTATAATACCGAATACAGTCCTTTAAAGTCATAAATTGCTCCTCTTCCGTCTTACCATCATCACATATACTTTTAAGTTTATGTTGCAAAATCATTAACACTGATTTACCAAACATGGCAAATGAAGCGAATAAACTAACAAACGGCATGTACATGGCTGTCAAAATCATAGGTGTTGGAAATTGTATGATATAGAAAATTTCATAGACTGGCGAAGCAGTCATATCAACACCCGGTAGAGCGACTCCAAATGGATGAACTAAAATGAAAACATGTTATACATATATAGCATACATACTCTTCGAGGAAGTGTACAATACATACCTCTTCCGTCAACCAACAAAGGATATATTAAAGCTCCTATAATATCGAAAAAGGATGCTGTTAAATTGAAAATTGATACTTTCCTGGCTGATATGGCGGCGTCTTTTAAAATTCTGTTGGCATAAATATCATTGCTTTGCTGTTTATATATTACAAAGGAAAACAATACAGTATTGGGTGAGTAAAAGAGACAATTCGTATAGTTTTAAATAAATTCAGCTATATCGCTGCCATGAAACCTGTATCGCAACAGACTAGTCTGTTGACTACTCAGTAGACTTCCCTAAAATATTTCATACGACATAACATTTTCACCCAACCAATACAACACATTAAGGAAGACATTTATATGAATAAATATTGACTAATTTAAATATTTCTTTTAAATTGATTCTCTATTACACCAACAACACACAACTATGAAATAAAATAAACACTTACTTCAATTTCTTTATACATCGATAACAATTCCAAAATAAATGCTTCAAATTTATCCCGATTGATAATGACAAGGCACGTCCGTAATAGAGCATCAAATATTGCGGCCGCAAAAAATGTATTCAATATAAATGGAGTCAAGTCGCCCCACATGCGAAACAAATAGACAAATTGCATCGCATTCATTACGCAAACGGGCAAAACAAATAGATAAACACGCCAATGATTGTCACGACCCGGAAATATGACAGCGAAATATTTCCACAATTTAACATTTATCGCCAACATTGGATTGTCTTCAAGCATCCTCTACTGCCAGCAATTTCAAGTATGAAAAATATTATATTTTTAAAGAAATTTAAAAGAATTGAAAACATACCGCAGCCCTATACAATACGTACGATAATGATGTTAAGGAAACGGAAATAGTAAAGTTTTATGCCAAAGCACAGAGAACACACTGCAAACAAGTGTTAGAACAGTAGACAATCAGTGTCGAATAATATTTATATTTCAATTGAAAGTTTTTCACAAAATAGTCTTTTCACTTAAATATCCTTAAGAATTTTGTTGGCAATACCAACCACTAATTGAGGCCTGCATTTGTTATAAGGCAATATTTGTCTCATTGTGTGTATGTGTGTGTGAAGTTGGGAATACGTAAATTTTAAATTAATTTAAAACTGTTTGCCACTTTGTGTGGCAAGGATATCGTTATGACAAAATTGCCAATTAGAGCAATACAAGTGCCAATTTCACTAATTGAATGTTACACTATTACAGTGGTTGGATTATAGGTTTCAGCTACAATTGATATTGGTTTGTAGTCAATTGTATTAAAAAACGAAAAAAAAATGAGAAAACAAATTAGCTTAAATTAAATGATCATATTAAAGTTTAAATAGTTTCAAAATTTAATAATGTTCTAAAATTTGTGCGTATTTATTGAGGCACAATATTCAAAGTATCAATCTTACATTATATCGGTTCTCAGGAGAGTAAGAGGCATTTTTAATTAAATAATATATATAGTGTTTCTCATTGAAATCCAACAAATTTATTTAATATACATACATTATGTTAGGTTAGCTAGACAGGAGGTTATATAATGCATCAAATCCGAAAAAATACACTTAGGACACTATCAACCCTTTTCATATAGTATTCTCTAAATATACTTTCGTCCGATGTTTAGAAACTCAGTTTCCTGGGCGTAATTTCTAAAAATTTTCCAATTATAGTTCGTGAGAGATGTTATATCAGGAATATTATCGCTATCCAATTTCTACAAAAGCCTGATAATGACAGAGAAATTGCTCAAGAGTTTGACTGTCCTTTCAACATGCTCTATATTAGTCTGAATCCGCACGACCTATTTTGTATAGCTGTAATCCTGTGTGCCCACTTATAATACGTACCATCATACTAACCCCCTCTCGTTTGGGTTATCCCATCCTTGTAGTCTTGTAGTTTTCCCCATGTTTTCATTATTCCAAGAGGATTCTCTTCTTCTTAAAAGCTAGGACATTCGTTCTTTCTTTACCTACTCCTGGCCTGGTACATACATATATAATGCTAACCTTAACTCTGGGAGAGTATTCGGTTAAAGTTTTCTTACAATCCAATACTGTCTTAGTTTTAACTTCTGTCTGTCGGTAAATATGTTAAGCCCTGTGGAAGCCATACTTATTTATTATACCCTACACCACCATAGTGGGGAGGGTATTATACGTTTGTGCTGATATTTGTAACGCACAAAAATATTGGTCCTACACCCACCTTAAAGTATACCGATCGACTCAAAATTGCGACCTGTACCTGTGCGCAAGGTACAGGTCGCAATTTTCAAGATATTTTGATGAAATTTGGACCATACGTGTTTTGAAAATGGTTGAAATCGGTCCATTATTTCACCTAGCCCCCATACAACACTACCCCCCGAAAAGGGCTTTTGAGTTTATAATTATGTTAAATATTGTAGTATCTCTACAAAAATCGGCAAAACTTGGTTCTATATACGTCTTAATAATACTACCGATTTTTGTAATTATCGGACTTTATTTGACCCTAGCCCCCATACAAAGTCCCGTTCAGGAAATGACTTGAAGGTCAATAATTCACTAATAAACACTAGTATCACGATGAAATCCAGCATACACAACTCTAATTTATAAGGATAGGTCCATATTTACCCTTGCCCCCATATAACCCCACTTTTAGAAAATCACTTTTTTCAACAAATTGTTAAAATATTTCGGAATTAAGGTAAACAACTTAAATGCTTTGTTATTAAAAATAATCCATATTTTTAACATACTCAGTGGTATATTGATCGGACTTCTCCCGGAAGCTAGTGTTGTGATTAGGTAAACGGTGATATATTTTTGTCTCAAAATTTAGAGCCATCCGTATAGCAACGGTTTTCTACGTGTTTTTTTTCTAATGTTCTGCTTGACTATGCCATTCTATCTGAGATCAGAGTTTCGAAGTTTCCGACATATTATATGTCTGGTATGATTATGTATAGCATTCGAATATGTCCAATATACATTGATGACGTGTCCTATAACTGCTTTTGGCTACTTCGCCTAAATGCCGCCTCATATCTTATATATGTTTCAATGGGTATTCGAATGATTGTCCAATCAAGCAATGTTTCTAGAGCCTTAACATACATATTGCTCATGTCACCACTTATACCCAAGCAGCATATTACACTTTCCATTAGATTATTAAGGCACAAGTTAGAATTGTTGTAATTACACTTTTATAAAGCCAATGTGTCATAATGGGGCCTTAGTCCTACAATGACACATTGGCTATGGTTTTCCTACATAGCGCCCATCACCGATGTGCCTTGTTGATCTTCTATGTGGTGCCTCCATTTTAATTTTTTTGTCATGGATTACACCTAAGTACTTTACTCCGCCTGTCACCGGTATTTTCTTACCCAGGAAACAGGATTCAATATACTTAGAAACACTTTCTTGTAAAAAGACAAATTTCCAACTTCGCCGAGTTAACAATGGGGACTCTCGGTTGAGCCCATCTCAAGGCCGTATTGATATTCAAGGTTTTTCGGATTTGGGTATAAATATTACCCTTGCGTCCTGCCATTTAATTGGGGTATATGCGAATTTCAAAAATCTTTGACAGATGTACGGAAACCAGTCCAGACTCAGTCTACAAAAGTGTCAGGAAAATGCAATCCCGTCCTGCAGCTTTATATTGAAGATAAACTCATTTAAAAACGTTGGTGTTAAATTAAATACAGACATTAACTTGTTGCTGTTTATAACAATATAATTATTCTAACAAATCAGTTCTATCTATAGAGTAGAGTTCGATGCATAATATTATAGGACCTAAGCCTATACTTGTCCCAATTACCAACTATAATTCATATCTTGGTTTTCCACAAGATAAAGCTAAGTGTTATTTAAAAATTAACATGGAATAACACTATTGCACTTGCTTTCCATCAACAAATAAAAACAGAAAATCTCACATAGATATTTTACCGGAACTACCATAATGATTTATTATGCGTAGTTAACGTGTCTTCACACTCCATCCAGAACAAAAGGCACAATAACAGAAGTTTTGTTTTTGGCAAACGGACAAATGGACAAAAAACAGGAACGTCAGTAACAGCACACCTAACAATTCTTGTCATCTGTAACTGACATTATTTGGTTTTTTTTTTATTTAATTTTTGAATTTTTGAGACCAATAACAACCAGTAAGTGAGTGAGAGCCAGCCACATCATGGCCATTATTAATTTTTGTATCTTTTTTTATTTTTTGGTTGCGGTTTTTTGTTTCCGTCCGTTAGTGTCCTTGTTTGCACAAAATATTGTTTTTGTTTTAAGCAGCTTCATGTAAATACTCGCACATGTTCATGCAATTGTATTTGTTTTTCGTTTCGTTTGTAAGGATGTGCATATCCTTTGAGATACATACACTGTTCTGTATGGGTCAATGCTTAAGTATGAGTTTTTTGTCGCATTGTGTCTACTTGGATGTGTGTTTTCGTATTTGTCTGCCTTTGTGCTTTTTTGTGGCATAACGCTTCAGTAAGTGGTATTAATGTTCGTTCGTTTGTTTGCTTTTCCTTTTATTTTTATATTACGGTTACAATTCGAGTATGAGTCCTTATAATATTTGAGCTGATGCTGCAATATTTTGTATGAATGTTTTTGTCTTTTCCTTTAGACCATGTGTTTTGCTATCATTTTGGCAATGCAATACATACTGCCAAAAATATTTGCCACCTAGTAAAACTCATATTTGTCGACAGACTTTTAAAGTGTAAATTTCTACTAAATAGAAAAGAATTTCTATTCAATTTCAAAAAATAATTTAAATTTTGAAGATTTCTGAAATTCTAGACTATAGTCTCGACTTTAAGCTAGAAAATAGACTAGACTATAGACTAGACTATAGACTAGACTATAGACTAGACTAAAGACTAGACTATAGACTATACTATAGACTAGACTATAGACTAGACTATAGACTGGACTATAGACAAGACTATAGACTGGACTATAGACTAGACCATAGGCTAGACTATAGACTAGACTATAGAATAGACTATAGACTAGACTATAGAATAGACTATAGATTGAACTATAGACCAAGACTGGACTATATTCTAGTCTATAGACTAGACTATAGACTAGACAATAGACTAGACTATAGACTATACTATAGACTAGACTATAGACTAGACTATAGACTAGACTATAGACTAGACTATAGTATCTGGCCGAGGCTTGCGGGATCTCGTATTCTTTTTCTTCTTAACTATAGCCCATCCGGCTTCTAGGTTATCCGACTCTGGCTTTCTACTAGGGAGTTCTTCTAGTGGAGTTAGTGTTGTCCTATTTTGTGGAAGGCTTTGCTTCAGTCTTTTCGGCGTCGGCATTTTTGGAGCTGTTTTGTCTTCTAAATTTCTTTTCGATTCCCTTTTGGACGGCCATGCTATTGGTGATGTCTGCATGGACTGTTCCACTTCTTGTCGTGGTGATGTCTGCGTGGACTGTTCTACTTCTTGTCGGTATGTCATATTTATACCATTACGTAGTTCTTCTCTTGTTTTATTATACATAGCTCGGATTGCGGTCAATTGATCTTTAATGGCATTGTGTACGTTGTTTTTGGGTTTTACAAAGTCCATCAAATCAACAATTAAGTTCCCTAAAAGGCAGAATGACTCTGAAGGCTGCGCATTATCACTAATTGCTTCTTCTTGAGTCGTGTGTTCTTTGCTGCTAGTAGTTTGCGGTGGCGTTCTTTTTGTAGCCGCACTTCTTTGGAAAGGGTTTATTTGATTTTTCCCACCTGGATTTGTCGTACCACTGCGAGAAAAACTGCTTACTGGAGTAAAATAGTGTTCCTGTCCACCAATAGGTTGGTCGCTATTTTCTCCCCCTTTATTGCACTCCTTCTGGTGATTGTTGCTTGTAGCATTATCTGTTACCTTAGCCAAGCTTACCGGGGTAACATTGCAGGCGCTGGATTTCGACGACTGGTAGCCTGCTCGCGCACTGTTTTGTTATTCCGGGATCCTACCCGTAGCGTTTTGACCTAACCGCCCCTTACTTGGGGAACAGACGCTGACCAGAGAGCCGTTCAATATGAAACAGACGCTTCTGGGTTTAAATATAACTAGAGGAACCACGAAGACGTCACTCTTCTAATTACACCTCTCTAGAGGGTACCTCCTATGGGGGATGCTTACTTACTGGCGGCATCTAATCGCCATGTCACAGAATCGTCATTAGGCTCATGTAACCTTTTTCTAGCACGCCCTCGAATTCTGCCGCTCATGGTCGGGGACTGCTTATCTATCGCAGCTGGCCTACATATTTGTAGGTCGTTCAGCTATCCGCCACCTGCTGACCCCGATAGTAGCCAGAGCCACGGCCCTAGACTAGACTATAGACTAGACTATAGACTAGACTATAGACTAGACTATAGACTAGACTATAGACTAGACTATAGACTAGACTATAGACTAGACTATAGACTAGACTATAGACTAGACTATAGACTAGACTATAGACTAGACTATAGACTAGACTATAGACTAGACTATAGACTAGACTATAGACTAGACTATAGACTAGACTATAGACTAGACTATAGACTAGACTATAGACTAGACTATAGACTAGACTATAGACTAGACTATAGACTAGACTATAGACTAGACTATAGACTAGACTATAGACTAGACTATAGACTAGACTATAGACTAGACTATAGACTAGACTATAGACTAGACTATAGACTAGACTATAGACTATAGACTAGACTATCGACTAGACTATAGACTAGACTATAGACTAGACTATAGACTAGCTATATAGACTAGACTATAGACTAGACTATAGACTAGACTATAGACTTGACTATAGACTAGACTATAGACTAGACTATAGACTAGGACTATAGACTAGACTATAGACTGGACTATAGACTAGACTACTACAATTTTTCATTGTCAAGCTAATTGCTTCAAATTCCCTGCACTTAATATGAAGAACATTATGGTACAGAGCTAACCACTTTCAGATAAGTCAATTACTATTTTTTATATTTATGGTTTATGATGACCACTTGACTATAATCCATTATATATGATCAATGATACGCAATTTTGTATATAACCAACATACACCGATGGCGTGAATTTTACAAGACTTTTAAGATTATAAAGTAGTAAAATTTTTTAATATTCTTTGCAGTGGTAGAAGGATCTGGTTGAGCTATTACTATTTCAAGTATATAACTTGTTAAGTAAAAAAAGTTATAACTTTAAATAATAATTTAATGAAGCAATTCATTTAATATTCTGCTAAATAATATAACTAATTCTAGTATATGAATTTTACTTGGCTTTTACTAAAAAAGAGAAAAATAATTTTCAAATGATTTTAATGTTTGCCAACTTGTCTGGTTATAATCCTTCGTTATTGTTTATTAAACCATATTTAATGGCTTATTGTTTTAATTTTTATTACATATTTAAAAAAAGAAATACATTAAATCTAACAAATCCCACAAAAGCATAAAATTAATAAAAATATACTTAGACATCCTTGTAGATTATTTATATACATATATTCATATATTAAATTCTTCTAATAAATTCCTTTAAGTTCTAAAAATTTTGTATTAAAATTCTAAAAAAATACTTTGGCTTCAAAATTTAAATTTGTTATGTTGTGGCTGTGGTTGTAGCAATATTTTTCAATACACATCTATTGAAACGTTCAATTTCCAAACAAACCAATAAACCACATGATGACATTAATTACTTCGTTCAGTGACCACTCATTCAATAGTTTGTTCAACACATTGAACTGTGTGCTGTATTAGAGTGTCCTTCTTTCCCTGTCATTGTTTCAGTGTTTAATGTTTAAAACAAACATCAATGTTTTCATCAACTTCACTCTCATACTCGAACTTATTGAATTAAACATGCATGGGTGGGAGTTGTACAATGTACGTGAATATTGTATGTATGCAACAAATTTTGTTCTGCTGTTGCGATTGGCAACCTATGGAACGCGTTTAACATTCGCTTTTCTTTAATGAATCCAGCAATTGTCATTCCACATCCGGCCTGTTAGTTCGATCTGATCAGATAAAGTACTTGTCAAATCATAGTTTATGATCATGTCTCTCTGCGCCCGAGACTTCTTAAGACATTATCTTCAGAAAACTTTCAAAACATAACAAGAAATAACTACATCTCTTGATACGAAATTAGAAGTATAAGTCGTATCGCAAAGGGTGGTATAAACGCTGACAAATTTGGATTTCCTCTCAATAATTATAGCAGTAGCTATTGTAATTAGTTCTAATAAGAATTTAAATCTATGAGTTTGGCCTTATTTTACGATGGTACTTTTCCAAACACGGGGTGAGCTGATCAGACGACATACCAACGCCCCTTTATAATTCTTTCAGGAAGGAGACCATTTTTGTTCTTCCGGTCCATGTACAATGTACAATCACTTTGCTCAAGTACTCAAGCTATGTAAACTCTGACCATTGCTGCCTCGTTGCTTAACTTCCGAGATGGGAAAACATCACTTCCGTTTACAACCACGCAGATGTGATGCCCTCTGTTGAGTCGGCAACAGTATCTAGAGACGTATTCGGTAGAAACACGAATCCATCAAATAAGCCGAGGACTTTGTTCTTATTCACAGAGAACACACTGGTAAACAGGTGGTAAATCTAGTATGAACAGAGTAAACCCTGAACCCGCCTGGACAAGGAAAGAAAATTTAATGGTATCACTTTTATAAGATACTTTCCATCCCTTACCATTTAACCCAGCATTTGATCATCATCAGTTTATAGTTCCGGCAGACTAGAAGTAGCACCACTTATTCCCGGGATTGCAACATGGGTTCTTTCTTAATATATCTTGTATTTGTAAAAATTATATTTATATATGTATTTGTGTATGTACGTATGTATGTATATATGTAATATCATCCGCCCATATAATTTACTACGAAGAATAAATAGTTGGACACTCCTTCATTTGATGGACATTGTGTGGAAAATTAATATCATGTAATTAACAGCAGATTTAATGTTGTACGTGATTTAACCGATACCAATCGAGTTCAATACACAAAGAGACATATACATACATACATATCTTCATACTTATGTACCTAAATACAAATGAGTAAAAATTTGATTTCGTACTGAACTCAAACAACAAGGACATGAACAACATGAATTTGTCTGTCAGAAGGAATTTATTGTAGAAATTTTGTATTTATCAAACGTGTTCAAATGAACATATGAATGAGAATATGTGTGTCCATTATCATGTATTGAGAAATTCATGTATGAAAGTATGCCTCTCTTATTATCCTTTTGTCATTGCAAGTGCATCTTATCAATACTTTTACACATTCAGACGATTGTATGAATGATATCTTTTGTATCAGATAACGTATGTACATATATTCACTAAAACAGACAATAACCCTGTAAAAATTATTAGAGTACATAATCCGTTTAGTAGACCTATGCAATGCAGGCATTGATCATGTTTATTATTTTTGAAAGCAACGTGGTCCATAGCCAGCACTTTTTACACTTTTCAATCGATTTCAGACACAGGTTTGCGTTATCCGATTGGACTAAAATTTAACACCAGACAATAACCCTGCAAAAATTATTAAAGTACATAATCGGTTTAGTAGACCTATCCAATGCAGACATTGATCATGTTTATTATTTTTGAAAACAACATGGTCTATAGGCTGCACTTTTTACACTTTTCAAACGATTTCAGGCACGGGTTCGCGTTATTCGATTGGACTGAAATTTAGCACCAGTTAGTTTTAGACACTAACCCCCATTATCTCAATGTCTGGTTATATTTTGTCGTAAGGTTAAATTGACAGTTTTCATACAAAAATTATTTTAACCGGCAGAATATCTACCGGTTAAACGATAACCGGAGTTGGTGTTAACGGTGGTAAGAACTAAATAGATATTTTTGAGCAGCTCTATTGTTAATATTAGACAACGCAAAAAGCAACCAAAAATTATAATCGGTCGCAATAAAATACCATGAACCAGATATGATGTTTGGAGTAAAATCTAGCCCATTTTTGCTAAATCTTATTGGGTTTTTATATTTATTAGACGTTTAAATTACATATGCATGTAGATATATCGTTAAATCCAGAACAATTTTTAACTCAATGATAATAACTAAACTGAAGTGAATGATTCCCGATATGAACAACGACCATTGCTTTGAATTGATTTCGTTGCAAGACAGCAGGCGACACGGGCGCATTGACTCAGAGAACTTTTATTCAACCATTCATGGAGAAAAGCACTAACAAATACATCGCCACAACCGGTAGTATCCGAGACGTTTTCAGCTGGCGTTATATGAAACGAATTGAACGTCAAATTACCAGGTCCAGATTTGTCATCAACATAATTCGTTATCATTTCAACATATTCAGCACCGTTTGTTATGACAAGGATCTTGGGAACTTTTGATTCCTTTGCCAATGCGATAGCCAACTCCTTTATACAACTAGCACCCCAACATTCACGAAAAGCATCGAATTCAGCTCTATTACCAAATATGAATAGTGAGTTGTTGGCCAAGAAGAGCATGTGGGGAAAATTGACTCTCACAATATAATCTGCACTTAAATTCAGAGCCAAATAACGACGACCTTTAAGGTAATGACGCACAATGAAAGTGGTGACCGCTTCACATTTGGGCACAAAAAAGCCTTCAATATAGAAAATCTGTTTGCGATTTAATGGTCTAAGAAATGAACTGTTCTCCTCCCTTTCGACTTGTTGCAAATAAGCTCCTGTAAATTTAACTGAAGCACCATTATTTGTATATAAAGCTTTTGAGTCTTTATGAACCAATGATATACGACGTCCTGTGGCAGTATCGGGTACAGTTTGTAGTTTAAATTGGCTATATTTTTGGGAAATAAAAAAATACATAATATGTACTTAGTGTTATTAGAACTCAAATAAGAGAAATTAATAGAAACTTACTATCTATCCATATTAGCGTTTTTCAACAGTTCATACATTATTTCACATTGAGCATCATCTCCACAAGCCCCAAAAAATAAGGCATTCGTTCCCAAGGATTTTAAAATGCAAACAATATTCATAGCAGATCCACCTAGTTTAGGCTCATGTTGTTCTCTGAAATGAAATATGACAGTATGTAACAGGTGCTTCAAATGTAAATATCTTATTTTCAAACCGATAAAATAATTCAAAGAATAATAACTGCACAGAGAAAACAGATTCGTTGTGGTAACCGAATTTGTTTCCAATCGAATTTAGTCGGTTCCCACAACTATCCCATAATTCTATTGGGATGACTGAAAAATTCGATTGGCAATATAGAATATATGGAAATCATAATAGTTTCAAAATGAAATTCGGTAATATAAATAGAAACTAACAGTATTACTACTTGAAATATTATTTATTATACACATATTTGTGGATTCTATTTGTATACAATAAAATTTTATAAAATATAAATGTTTACAGATAAAAATAATTATAAAACACTTCTTGCATCAGATTTTGGGATACATTACATGCCTGACCTTTATTTTTGTCGTAAAAAAAGATTTTCCTTTAGTTTTTGCAAAACATTCCAAAACAAAAGCGTCTGCGGATTTAGGGAAGCCTGGATCCTGCAGTCGCAAAACAATAACAGCATCTGGCTCCAAAGCTGGATGCAGCAAAATAAGCAGCGAGGCACCTCTGGACGTCACCCCAAGTACCTCAAAGGCAGCTCAGGTCCGTATTGGCAAAATGCCGATAAAACCCCCTGTTTCGGGGACTACTAAGGCCACCAAAACCAAGGTAGCAACCCCAGTGCCGGTTATGCACGAGGGAACTGCGAACAAGATTTCGGGTTCTCAAACGGCATCTCCCAATGCCAACACGGCGAATAGTAAGACCCCCAGGCACGTAATACCAGCAAGAAGGGCCTTCCTACAACGGCGCTCCGCCGCCAAAATTCTAGCGCGCTTAGCTGGCAAGCCAGTTGAGTCGCTAAGTAAAGAGGACAAGTCCTCTCTAGAATGGGCTAAGGGAAAATTGGCCGTTCTGGAGAAGAGTCCCCCCCTCACGTCTAAGGACGCGCCTAAACGGCAACGTTCTGAGGAGGAGACTAATCTTCAGGGCCAGCAGCCCGGGACAAAACGTCCGAAACCGTTGCCCCCCAAGCCGCATGACAGGACCTCCGGTGAAGTGGTTGAGAACCAATTCACGCGTGCTGTCATCGACAGGGGTGACATAGATGGCGCTATGTCTCCATCCAGATGGGACATAGTGCGAAAAAAGCTGATGGGGGTGTTCTGGGAAGTTCTTAAACAGAACCCTGGTCCCCCCCCACAGTGTGAGGACGGCGGTTGGTTTCACAACAGAGTGAAGCTAATGGCCTGTTCCAACGAGCGCTCAGCTTTGCTCCTGAAGCAGGCTGTGTCGCTGATAAAGGATCCGTGGGAAGGTGCTAAGCTGGAAGTGGTCTCTGTGGACGAGATCCCACGAAGGCCTAGATCCACCGCCATAATTCCTGCGGAACCACATAAAAAGGCAGCGATACTGGAGCTTCTACAGGTTGGCAATCCGGATCTTCCAACTCAAGATTGGAAGGTCGTCAGGGTTTCTCAACCCGTAGGAAGCTCCAGAAGGATTGTTGTGATCCTGAACCAGGAGTCTTTGGCGCCGCTTCGCGAGAAACAAGGGAAGGTCTACTACGGCTTCGAGTCGATCTTCCTCCGTGTCTACCGAGGCGATGACAAGGGACTATTGGAACAGGATGATCCCGATCCTGACCAATCCGCTGCGGATATGTCTTGCGACGAGACTGACCTTTCGCTGAGTCAATCAACTTCTAAGTTGGTTAAGGAGGGGGAAGAGTCAGTTGACGAGGACGATCTCCTTGCCTCTGACAAGGAGGACGCCAACGTCACAGTGTTGCGTAAAGACAAAAAAGGAGATGGTGAGAGTAACCCAAATTAATCTCCACCACTCCAAAGCAGCCTCGGCTGCACTGCTCCTCCGAATGGGTGTAAGTGGGGAGGAGCTCGCCCTAGTCCAGGAACCCTGGATTCACCAAGAAAGGGTGAGTGGACTAGGCATGAAAAGCTTTAAGCTATTGTACGCAAAAGGATCTGGTAAGATTCGATCCTGTATAGTAGCCAAAAGCAGTCTCAACATCTTCATTCTTTCTGATTTCAGTGATGAAGACACCGTAGCAGCCATATGGGAGACCAGTGTAGGTGCTATATTGGTTATCTCGGCGTACATGGCTCACGACCACAGCGACCAGCCACCGAACAACCTGGTCTGCAGATCCATAGAGATGGCAAACTCGAAAAGCATGCCGATCATCATGGGGGCTGATGCCAATGCCCATCACACTGTCTGGGGAAGCTCGGACATAAACGCTAGAGGTGAGTCAATCTTTAACTTCATTCTAAGCAATAATCTTGATATTTTAAATACAGGATCCGAACCGACCTTTATTGTTTCAAACAGAAGGGAAGTTCTTGACATTACGCTGGTTAGTTCTATGCATCATGATAGGATAAGGGGATGGAGAGTCTCAAGTGACTGCTCTTTCTCTGACCATCAGTACATCGATTTTGAAATCGTAGTTGACAAAGTGGCCCCAAAGCCCTTTATAAACAGGAGACGAACAGATTGGGAAATGCAAATGGGGCTAATCTCACGTTCACTCCAGGATGTACCGATCATCGAAAACCGATCGGACATAGAAAACGCGGTTGAAACCATAAATCAAGCTTTCAAACACGCGACTTCACTGTCTTGTAAACAGAATATGCACAAAGGCAGATGCATGGTGGTCTGCGGACATTGCGAAATCTCGAAAAGAGACGCGCAGACTGTTTAACGAGGCAAAGAAAACAGGAAACTGGATTTCTTATAAGACCTCGGTTAATCGTTTCAAGAACCTGGTAAGAAATGCAAAGCGCAAATCTTGGAAAACCTTCTGTAGCGGCGTGGAAGGTTCTTCTGAGACCAGTCGTCTGCGCAAAATCTTATCATCTACTCCTCCTGTCCCAAGTTTCATTCAGAAACCTTGTGGCAGTTGGACGACCAGTAGCCAAGAAACCTTAGAAGTTTTAATGGCCACTCACTTTCCAGGCTGTCAATCTCCGGAAAACGGGACTGACATGCAGTTTACAGATCTCCCAGCTGATACAGGAATATCCATAAATGAAGATAAAATCAACTGGGCGATAAACAGCTTCGACCCCTACAAATCACCGGGTCCTGACGGTATAATACCTGCGGATTTGCAATACAATGCTGTCCATCTTATGCCTTGGCTAACGCGGATATATGATGCCTGTTTAAAATGGTCTTATATACCCGAACCCTGGACCAAGTGCACAGTGGTCTTCATTCCGAAAGGAGGAAAGACCTCTCACACGAAGCCAAAGGATTTTAGACCAATTAGTCTATCCTCCTTTCTTCTCAAAACTTTGGAAAGGATAATTGATCTGCATCTCAGAATACATATCAAACCTGACCATTTATCAGCATCTCAACATGCCTACATGAAGGGAAAATCTGTTGAGACTGCATTACATTCGCTAGTTTGTCACATTGAAAAGACAATAGCGCAAGGGGAATATACACTGGTTGCCTTCTTGGACATCGAGGGGGCTTTCAACAATGTTCACCCTGGGTCGATAACAACGGCCCTAACTGGTCTGGGTATAAACCAACCAATAACAGCTTTCATCAAGAGATTACTGACTCAGCGAATCATTATCTCCGAAATGGGAGCAGCAAATGTCACAAAAGTGGCAAATCGCGGTACCCCACAAGGTGGAGTTCTATCTCCACTTCTGTGGAACCTAGCGTTGAACCCACTTCTTATGGATCTTAGATCTATGGGATTTAAGGTAATAGCATATGCAGACGATGTGTCTGTAGTAGTATCTGGCAAATATCTGGATACTTTATCGCAAAGGATGGAGATTGCACTCAGGACACTCAGTACATGGAGCAACGTCAGTGGCCTTGGTGTTAATCCATCGAAAACGGAACTTGTTCTCTTCACTAAGAAGTACAAGATACCCACCTTCACTCTCCCACGACTGAATGGGATAGAATTGAAGTTATCGGATAGTGCTAAATATCTGGGAGTAATCCTAGATTCAAAACTATCATGGCATTTGAACACTCAATCTAGAGTATCAAAAGCGGCTGCGGCCTTATACTCGTGTAAAAGAGCAATTGGCAAATCATGGGGCATAAACCCCAAGAATACCAAATGGCTCTTCGACATGGTAGTCAAGCCCATACTATTGTACGGTGCACTTGTATGGTGGAAGTCTGTACAAAAGGACTCACACCGCAAACGTTTTGAGGGAATCCTTCGCACATCAGCTCTGTTGATAACGGGGGCTCTCCGCACCACCCCATCAAAGGCTCTCTTTGTCATGATGGGATGGCTACCTATTGATCTAATGGCCCAAGAGGTTGCCCTCAACGCGGCTATTAGACTCAATACAATTGGTATGTGGCATATGATTCAGTCAGGTCACTCCACCATCCTCAATTGTCTAGGAGAAATTCCTGGCAATATCGACTATTGCATCGCCAAACCGTCTTTTGATAGAAGCTTTTCGGTGAATATCCGAGACGACCCAAATGTGATGGAAACAATCCTCCATGATGGATCGTATAAGGTTTTCACTGATGGCTCAAAATCAAACCATGGTGCAGGCGGTGGCTTTTACATAGCACATTCGGGAACGGAAGTATCATTCAAGCTTCCTGACCAATGTAGCGTCCTTCAGGCTGAACTATCAGCCATTAAACGGGCTGCAAACTGGCTCAGGTTTTATCGAATATACGGTGTTAATATTCGAATTTATACCGACAGCCAGGCAGCCCTTAAGGTTCTAAGTGGTGTCTACACGACGTCAAACTTAGTCCTAGAATGCCGGGCATCCCTTAACGAGATGGCGAAACATTCCACAATAGGACTGTATTGGATTCCAGGACATCAGCAAATTCCTGGTAATACCATCGCGGACTCTCTTGCCAAGTTAGGCTCCTCGCTTGCAGGAGAGCATACCGACCCTTTTGTCGGTATACCGCTTTCAACCTGCAAACGCTCGATACGTGAAAAACTATATGAGCTTGCGCAATGCAGATGGTCGACTGAAGCCACCTGTAGACAGGCAAGGATCATGTGGCCATCTTACGACCCACAAAGATCCCAAGCCCTTTTCTACATTCCGAGAGTTAATCTACGGAACTTAACGGCAGTGGTAACTGGCCACTGGCCTTTCGGACTCCATGCAAGAAGACTGAACTTACCCAGTAACGACTTCTGCAGGAGCTGCCAGGATGAAGAGGAAGAAGAGAGTATAACTCACTTCCTCTGTCATTGTCCTGCCCTAGCTGATCACAGAGTGGGTCTGCTAGGTAGCTATTTTCTGCATGACTTAGCGGATCTATCGGAGGTTGATATCCGAAAGATAGATTCCTATATTCGTGCGACAAACTGGTTCGGTGGAAACCAGAGTGATTAGGTTGAAGTGTACTAATACGCCGACCGTTCTCTCTCGTTTCAGGTATCACAAAGGGATCAAAATTCTGGACCCAAGTGTGTCCCCAGTGATGACATCGCGAGGACGACCTGCCTACCTAACCTAACCTAACCTTCCTTTGGATGATTTGAATTTCATTGGAGATTTGGATTCCTTGCTTTTATTCCTGCAAACGCATTAAAAATCTTAAAAGCAACTAAGTACAAACTTTATTTTATGTTGAACATTACCTTTTCACCTAAATCCTTTAAAATTAAGCCGCAATTCCGTTTATTTCTTAAAATATTTTTACATAATTCACAATTCTTTTATTTTCTTTAATAATTATTTTTGTGAATGTCAACAATCGGTTGGAAACATCGAATTTATTTATGTTCTTTAACCACAATCGAATTTTTAAGTATTTATAATTGATATTTAGTTGCAATGATGGTATGTAGTTTATTTGACTCAAAATTTTCGCTTTAACAAATTTTTCGGTTACAACTACTAATATTTAGAATTCTTAAGTTTGAATGCTAAATAAAATTCTGCTGTATTTACTGAATTAATAAAAACCATTTCACAAAAGATACAATTCGGTTGAAATTACCAATTCGGAAATTTTTATAGCCATAATTTGATTATAATCATGATTTTTCGGTTCTTAACATAGAAAATCACTCATATTTATAGTTTTTTAATATGAGCGATAGAATTTTAATTAACTTTACCAAATATTTATAATGGAAACCGATTTCCTATCGATCTGTTTTCTGTGTGTGTTATTCAGTAATAACTCCAGGACCAATACTAGTCCTACTTTCACTAATTTCCAAAGTGAGTGGATTGAAAGTTAGAGATTGTGAAGTGAAGGGTTACACTAATTGCCTCTGTCGTCGTGTCCTACTTAATACAAGAACATAGACACTCATTAATCTCAACAACTCGAGCTCTACAAAATCACGAACTTTTATGGACTTAAGCCTACTATCACCGGAACAAGAAGTTAGAATCGACATAGAATAACATTTGTTTTTCGCCAAATCCTTCGTGTCTTAATGGCTTTAGTCACGAATATGTTCTTTGTAAACGAGAGTGAAGACAGTCGCCAGTTTAGTGTCTCTTTTGTTAGCAAGAACAGAGCAAGTCGTCACTTTGCTCTTCCCAAGTAATCTAGAAAGTAGACATTTTCAAACAAAACACAAGCGAAATGTTCATTCGCTATGTATTGAATGCTTTAAACTAGCTTTCTGACAGTTCCTTTGAATTATATGGAGTAACGATTGAATCTTTTCTTGGAAGGTATATCTTTTTTAAACTTGGACCCCGATAACACTTAAATGTACATAACTAATTAAGGGATAAAGATATCGCAATAAAATTCGGTACAAATGTGTTTTGTGTACATATGTATATATCACTCTGCAAAATATTTTTTTGGATAGGTCCATAATTGATCGTAGCTCCCATATAAGGCCCCTTTCCGATAACCATGTAAACCAACATATTTCATTACTAAATTAAGATAAACAAAGATCATATGGGGTGACCCTGATGAGAACAAGACGAGAAATCTCCTCAAAATGATCAAGTCTGAAGTTAGTATGATGGTACGTATTCTGAGTGGACACACAGGTTTACGAGCGAATGTAGAGCATGTGGAGAGAACAATGAAACTCTGGAGCACTTTCTTTGCCACTGTCAAGCATTCGCCGAATTTAGATCCAAGTATCATGGAAGTGATGTTATTCCGGAAATAACATTCCTGACTAACACTGATTGGAAAATTCATAGGAATTACGTCCAGGAAAGTGAGTTTCTGAACATTGAAAAATAATATACTCAGTAAACAATTTTTTTCATGAAAAGGAGCGCATAACAGGCCCGATAGTGGCCTAGGTGTATTTCTTCGGATTTGATGTACAGTACATCCTCCTATCGACCTAAGCTAACCTAAATTTAGATATCGTTATAAAATTCGAAATAAATGTGTTTGAAGTGCACATAAAACACCGTATCGGTCCTTAACTGATTATACCTCCCATATAAGGTCCGCTTCCGAAAATTACTTAAACACATATATTTCATTAACAAATAAAGATACCAGATAAAATACGACATACATATGTTTTTTATATATGATAATCATTCTGCGGATCATTTTTTCGGATCGGTCCATCATTGGTCATAACTCCCATATAAGATTCTGTTCTGAATAAAAATATAGAATTAAATTTCTGCAAAATGTAATCGGAATCAGTCCATAATTCTTCATTGCTCTCATATAAGGTCCACTTCCTAAAGTCACTTAATCCTATATTAATCTGGATAAAACCCGACATGAGTATGTTTTGTGTATCTATAAATCATTCTGTAAAATTCTGTTCGGATTGACCATATTGGTCATAGTTCCCATAAATGGTCATAGTTCGAAAATCACTTAAAGAGAATAAAATTCATTAGTATTAGCGATATCGGGGTAAAATTCCAAAGGAATATGTTTTGCGTATATACAAAGCATTCTACGAATTTTTTCAGATCAGCTCATATTTGGTTATATCTCCCATAAAGGGTTCATAAATTTGTTATGGACCTGATAATAATTACTAACATATTAAATTGTCCAGAAGAACGTCATTTTAAGAATTTTATGTAGAATACCTCTCAATCGATGCGTATTAATGTACTGAACACGAAAAAAATAAAAAATATTTTTTTTTTTTTCGAATGGGCCCTCAGTTCCCTACAGCTATTGAAAATCCTGACCAGATATCCTAACATATATAATTGAAAAATAAAAGAACTTCAACTTTTTTGAAATGGGTCTCAAATATTCCGCAAGTTCGACCTGATTACGGTAAAAATAAGCTCAAACTTACGGAATTTTAGCGACCCATTTCGAAAAGATTGTATAAAAAAAATTTTTGTGACATATTGTACTGAGATCAGGATTTTCAATCATTGCTGGGGAACTGAGGACTTTAAAAAAAAATGTTTTTTATTTTTCCCGTATTTAGTACATAAATACGCATCGTTTTAGAGGTATTCCTCCAAAAATGTGGTCCACGGAACACCCTAATACATATGTATGTATAAAGAAATTACTAAATGATTTCTAAATTAGTGTACCCTCACTACGGAAGTAAAATTTAAACTTTCACAATTCATTAAATATCACAAAATGTGGAGGGTGGAGGGTATTTAAGATTCTGCATAGCCGAATATAGCACTCTAACTTGTTTCATTTTACTAGATTTAATAATAAACACAACTCTGAAGCAATTTCGTTACAGATATTTATAAATTGAAGCTATATAGTAACTATAGAATGGTTTGTTGCATTATTTCACTTCGACAAACACTCTTTGCAATTATTTTTTTTAATTCCATTCTAAAATTCATTAATTTGGAAACAAAAATCGTTTTAACTCACTTATTTGCAATGACTTCAGCAGTTACTTCAGCTAGTGTTTCATCATCGATTTCACATTCAGTATTCATCGATAATTTATAACGATCCAATAGTTTAGTGTCCTCCAAATAGGCCGTATAACTCAGTAAAACGTTGCCAAAAGCTATTACTTTACTGTAAATATTTTTTTAAATACAAATTTAAATTTAAGCAAAATTATTTTATATAAACTACTTTTGAAACACATACATGTCGGTACATTTTTTATAAGGAATACAAGACCATAAACTGCGGATGGATTGTTCCATTTTCCATTAATATATTTTTAAAAAAAAAACGAATTATTTAATTTAATTCAAATATATTACTTCATCTCAACGTTTTATAATAAACTAAATTGTAAATACTGAATCAATCTTTAACAAACATGTTCCGTACCGCAATCGGTGTAAAAATATTTCGATTTAAAATATAAGTATTAAACACTGTTATAGGTTATTTTTAATATTTTCCTAAAAAAAAGTTCTTTGTGGTTTTATTTAACCACGGTATGTTGAACTTCACTCACCCTCTTGTTGAATGAGTTTGTATTTTCTGTTAGTGTATTCAATTGGTATAAGCTTTTGAGAACTTTGAAAGCTCATTTAATAGCAGTGCTTCTCAAACCGTAACAACCGTTAAGCTTGAAATATAGTAAAAGTACTACACGTATTCCTCGCATTACGGCCAATTTATTGTACACTGTTCATTTAAACTGAAATTTTAATTACTATTCTATCGCAATATATATGTACTAGGGTGATCGATTATTCGACATTTTCCAAAACCCGGTTTTCGAATAGTTCGAATAGTTGACATTTGAAAAAAACCGGTTGACATTTTTCAAATCCAGAAAAAACCGGTTAACCGGTTTTTCATTATAAATAACAAAATCTATTTTAATTTGAAAAAATAGACGTTTATGTTTAAATTTAATTATAAAACAGGACTTAACTGTTTTTTAACAGTTTAAAAGATTATAACTTTAGATCTAGTCGTCTGATTTACTTTATTTCTTTAATGTAAAAAATGGAAAAAAGTGGAACACTTCTGTTGAACATAAGGAACTATGTAATTCTAGCTTATTCTAAAATCCCTATTTAGACAATTTTCATAGTCATTCCAACACTTCCATAATATTTTAGCCGCAAATTTATTATTGTAATTGAAATATAATCTTAAGATTGATAAAATTTTATCAAACTGTTATTCCAATAAACTATACAAATAAAAATTGTTAATTAATTAGGAAAATCAAAAAACTTTAACCAAAGGTGCATTAGAAAAATATACTCTAGTTCCTGGACTCCAATATTTTTAATATATAGACGGGCTGTATTTTTATTTACTTCAAAATTTAACTTAAGTAATCTTTGAATACAAAGCAAATTAAAAGTATTCGAAACCGGTTTTTAAAAAGTAGAAAAACCGGGTTGTTCGATATTCGAAAAATCAACATTAAGAAAAAACCGACACTGGTATAACAGAAAAAACCGGTTTTAAAACCGGTTGAAAATCCGAGTCGTTCACCCTAATATGTACATACATACATATCGTCACCTTAGTTAGTTAGTTTTTTGCTTCTCCTGTAAAATTTTCAAAATGTTAGATAGGGCCGTTTGCATTTTAGGTGACGATATGTAGATCTAAAAATTTTAACAATATTTTAACAATTTGTTGACAAAAACATAGATTTTCTAAAAGAGTTTTTATATGGGGACAAGGGCTTACTATATTATAATTTTTTTAAGTAAATTATTGATTTTCAAGTAATTTTCTGAAGGGGACTTTGTATGGGGGCAAGGGTCAAATGAGGTCCAATCATTACGAGAATCGATTTAGACTAAGTTGTACCGATTTTTATACTAAAAGTCTAGTATTAGAAAGCCCTACCGTACGCCCCGGTTGTATGGGTCCAGGTGAAATAATGAACCGATGAAAGAAGTGCGTGTGCCAAATTTTACCAAATTATCTGGAAAAATGTTCATGTTAACCTTGTGCGAACACTACACAAACGGACATAGCTTAGATTAGGTTAGCAGGTTGTCACTGGGGAAACACTCCATTACGTAGATCCCTTTGTGATACCTATTAAGGGAGAAGCGGTCAGCGTATTAGTACACTTCGAGCCAATTACTTTGGATTCCTATCCAAGCCAGTTTGTCGCACGAATAATGAGGTCTATCTTTCGGATGTCATATACATCCGTTAGATCGTGCAGGTAATTAGCTCCCAGATGATTTAATCTATGCTCGGCTAGAGCAGGGCATAGTTTAATCGAAAGTGATTTTGAGCCGACAGCACTAACGCATTATATCCTGCAAATTTAAAGGTGTAGGGTATGAGAATTATTTGTTTGCGTGTTGATCTTCTCACATTAATTGGCACACTTGCAGCTACAGTCGCCACATTTTCGTAGATACTCACCGTACAACGACATGAACCATATGAGTAATGTCCACTAGCAAGCCAGTCCAAAACCCAAAGTTTACAGTGTACATTTTGGAAAGAAATTTGTGGTATTCTGAAAATGCTCATCACTAGCTATGGTACTCGAATCACAGAGATGACCAGAGGGGTATAGCATTTGCGGAATAGATTGACAACTCCGTTTTGCACAATGAATGACGTTGCCCTCATTAGAATTATGGTAAGTTGCACGAGCTCGCCACATATAACAATCGGTAGTGCTGGTATGTTGTTAAACTGGCAACCTATAGTTTCAATACCTTCAGATCACCTCCATAAACCGTCGGACTTTATTGTCTCTGAACGCCGAATATATAAGAATAAAAAAGGCAGACTGGATAGGCTTCAGAGAGTTTACCAACCGCAAATTTAGGAGTTTACCGCACGCCCTTCTGACGTGCGCTCCGCAGAAAGGGAATTCCGGAAAATTGTCCTCGCTGCCGCCGCTCGTACCATACCTGCTCAAAGAATCCCGCTAATAACACCAAATTTCCCAGCACCGGGGGCAGAATTAACGATCCCAGAATACAACAAATTAACCGGAACTCGAACTATTTTGCGCGTCAATTTATAGAGCACCCCGACAGAGAGAAGGCAAAAGAAGTATCGTATCGTATCTTCGAGTCAGTGACACATCATATGTTTTATCAACGAGCGAGGTTATGAAGGTCATCAGTATGGCAATACTAATAAAATTTCAATTCTTAAACAATTACGATAAATACTATTATCGGTTAAACTTTGTTTAAAAACCTATAAATCGTAGAAAGTTAAAAAACCATTATAACGATGAATAACCTCGTTTATTTGCTTTTCTTAAGTACGTTGAGTAACTGTTTATATATAATAGATACAAAGAGCTAATTACAGATCGGTGCTAAGTACTTTTATACTTTTTTAAACATTTTAAAAAGTGACTAATTCGAACTAAGAAAATAAACAAACAAATTTCAGTTAAAATACAAAGCCAGCTTTTATTCATTTTAAATGGAATTTCTAAGCCAAAATTATAAAAAAAACAAGAATGAGTTAATGGAACTAAGACCGTAATAATGAATGTATAAGTAAATGGATGAATAAATATGTATGAATTGTATCACAATTAACAACTACGACTGATACGATACAAAGCAAATAAACAGTTTCAAAAAAGAATATTACAAAAATAAACTCAATATTGAAAATATTTTAATTGTAAGCTATTTTCATGTACTAGAGTATTGGATTTCATATAAGCAACAAAAAAAGAAGAAATGTTTAATAATGGTCAAAAGAAAAATTTAAAAAATGCAAATAAATAATAAATTAATTTAAAGTCAATATCAATAAGTGAGATTTCCATTGAGTGTCTTTTCTTATGGTAAATTACAACCAACTTGTGTGGCAACTTTGGCCGATATATCACAAGCAAAACGTATGCATTCACTTAAAATACGTTTCTCCAGCCAGGCATGCAGGAAAGCTGCAGCAAAGGCATCACCACAGCCAGTAGTATCAACAATATTTTCAATTCTTGGTGTATTGAACATTTGAAAAGTTAATTTTCCCGGTGGTGATAACTCATCCTCATAGTTTGTAATAAGCTCCACACCATCGGCACCCTTAGTCATAACGAAGATTTTAGGACCAGTGGAATACTCTAGTATACCCCTAATAAGTTCTTCGATATTTTTGGCACCCCAACATTCACGCAGAGTCTCAAATTCATCCTTATTGCCAAACACAAACATGGCATTATTGATCAAATAGATCATGTGATCATAGTTCATTTTCACTATATAATCAGCACTTAGATTTACGGCCAAACGTCGTCGCCCCTTAATGTAATTGCTAACAATATAAGTAGAGACTTCTTCGCGTTGTGGTACAAAGAAACCTTCTACGTAGAAAATTTGTTTACGACCGGAATTTCTTAAAAAGAAAGCATTCTCCTCTTGCTGTACCTTTTCCAAATAGTCTGTGGAAAATTTTGATGATGCACCGATATTTGCATATAAAGCTAAAGAATCTTTGTGTACCAAACAAATACAACGTCCCGTTGGTGTATCAGCAATGGTTTGTAATCTGAAATTGCTATAATAAAAAATGTGAAAAATATTTTCTAAATTAAATCAACATTGTAAAGAATTGTTTAATAACTGTAAAAAATATGGAATATCTAACTGTAAGAGTTTACTAAAGGGTTCACCAAAATTTGCGTAATACTGTAACACAATTGATTTTCTAACGTATTTTGCAATTTCTTAAAATTTTATTTTTGTTCCTTATTATAAACTTGTGTAAATTTGGGAGCACCCTTTATTGAAACAATTGTTAAGATAATTACAAGTAGTTAAGTAAGAAATTTCAACTACACTGTAGCCGGTGTTGTGGGTGCATGTTTATCAATTCAAGTTACTGTGCAAAAAAAAAAAACAACAATGTTTTAAATAAAATTATTTTATAATTAAACAACACCATTTCCAAAATATTGAAATATTTTTAATATTTCACAATGGAAGTAGAACCAATATTTCTAAGCGTGAAAATTATGAGCACAAACCAATAACACCTACCCTCCCCACTATAGTGCTGTAAGGGATAATAATCCATCTCTTGTTAAATTGCTTAATTTGAGTTGGATAGCACTTTCTTCGAATTTGTAGACTTTTTATACCCTACACCACTTTAGTGGGGAGGGTATATTGGATTTGTGCTGATGTTTGTAACATATAAAAATATTCGTCCTAGACCCACCTTAAAGTATACCAATCGGCTTAGAATCGTTTTCTGAGTCGATTAAGCTATGTCCGTCCGTCCGTCCGTCTGGCTGGCTGGCTGGCTGGCTGGCTGTCCATGTAAACCTTGTGCGCAAGCTACAGGTCGCAATTTTCAAGATAATTG